AAGGGATCATCTTAATGAATTGTTCCTCATAATGGTACTTACATCAACGAGTTTCCCGAAAATTGGCTTCAGTTTTGGGGAAATTTTTGGTAGACGTGTCGTTATGGTGAGCAGTGTTTATAAAATATAAGCGTCGCACTGCCTTGTCGAAGCCGTGCCAATTTGTCACGGACCCTATTGCATGGCTCTTCTCTGCACATGAAGTTAGCGCGGACTGTTTACAGGAGCCACTCTTCGAAGAGCAGACTAAGAATTACATGGTGTTGCTCCACCATTTCATCACCGCTACCTAGAAAAACCTCTCACAACTCGCTCCTGTTCCCATTCTTCATAATGACCCGCGTTGTAGAACAGCATCGACTTTTTCGAAGAGCTCAGGATCAGGTAGTAAGTGATTACTGACCGATGTTTAATGTTGCGTAGTGAAATTCTGCAATGTCAAGGGTTGGCACTGCAAATGTATGTCTTTAAGAAGGTTACACATTGTCTGACCATAAGAGAAGAGTGCACAAAGAGATTGCGAAGTGAAACGAACTCAGGGTCAGAAACTCCAACAGAGGAAAGAGCATGAAATATGCTTTCATAAAATTGAATACTACGAAAGCCACTTACTTGCTTTCACAGGAGTTTGCTGGTCCCTCTGAAATTCAGCAGTGTCGTCAATGACAACGCCTTCAGCTTGCGCCTCCTTTTGTTCGACAACGTTTGATTTGAGATTACTCGACGGGGTCGAGCTCGCTACAGGTTCGACCGCCTTGGACACTTCTTCGACATCAGCTAGACTCAACGACGTCTGAATTAAGAGCCACATCGATCTTACCTTTAGTGCGTCTTCTACTGAGATGAATACCAATGACAAAACACAATTCCTGACTAGGAAACCTGTTGTTCGCATGCTTGATAACAGCTTCTGGTTGGTGACGGTCAAGGGCTTATAATCGCACAAATACGTATTGTATCCTCCACCAATAAGAATGCCAAAATTGCTTGACCATGCAATAAATCCTATTCGATACCCGAAACTAGCTCTCCTAGCTTTTGATAGGACTCTTTATCAGTTTTTGTTCATACCTGGAGTGATAGTAAAACCATATTTATGTGAAATTAGCCTGTGATTACTAGTCCAAAATCTCCGACAATTTTTCCTAGTATCACCGGATCTTGCTTAACGGTGTTAGTAAGTTGATTTCGAGCTTCTAGAGTCAAAAGATATTTTTTTTGCTCAACCTGTGATTATCTACGTCGCTCTGAGGTGACCTTGTTTTTGTTTGTTAACTGCTGTTTTTGGCCGCAGTTCGCCTTGCGAATGTTTCACAAGAATGCTGGGTTGTGAACAAAACTTTCGCCCCAGGCGGGACTAGAACCCGCACCTCTCGCTTTCCGGGCAAGTGCGCTACCAGTTACGCTACCGGGGCACCATTTCATTTTCAGCGAAATGGTGCCCCCCCGGTAGCGTAACTGGTAGCGCACTTGCCCGGAAAGCGAGAGGTGCGGGTTCTAGTCCCGCCTGGGGCGAAAGTTTTGTTCACAACCCAGCATTCTTGTGAAACATTCGCAAGGCGAACTGCGGCCAAAAACAGCAGTTAACAAAC